TTTTGTTTTGGCTCCCAACCGCAGGCCACGTATTGAGCCGTGCGTAAATCCAAACCGCACAATGAGCTGCAAACAAACAGGCTGTGAGCCGCATGCGGCCCTGAAGTCATGTGCTGAGTAGCTCTGCTCTAATTTATATAATAGAATCAGAGAAACATGTAACCCCAGGGCTGAAAGGAACCTCAAGGAGTCATCAAATCCAGTTCCCTATGCTGTGCAGGGCCAAATAAAGCCATACTATTGCTGACATATGTTTATCCAAACTGTTTTGGGGGATTCCACAACTTCTCTTGGAAGCTTACTCAACTCTATTTATCCAATAAACCCTTTGCTACTCAATTAATAACTGGTAATATTTGTAATGATAACTACAAGGCTAGTCTTGAACATTTAAGTGCTATGTAGACAAACCCTTACACAGTTAGCCTAGTATTTTGATCTCAGTGAACTTTTGATGTTGAGAAAGTCTAAATTCTCATGTCTTTAAAAATGGGTAATATGTACCCAATATCCATTGAGTGTACCCCTTCAGTTAGCACAAATAATGCTACAGACACTTACAGAGCGAATAGTTTATTGAAATAACAACCTAACATGAGGTGCTTAATAATGGAATGTATGTTGTAAGTAAAAACTCATCCTCCGATTTTGGAAAATTTATACCCATATTTTACTAGATTAATCAAGCATTTGACAGTATAGTTGAATCACCTGCAGAGATATCAATCATTCTGTAATGATTTCATATATCTTATTTTTTACCTACTACATTTAGTCATTCATCTCAGAATGAACAAAGGAGAATCTATAGTATTTAAAACTTGTCAGAAGAGAAAAAAGAAAATTAGTAATTCTTTGCCCTCACTTCTCCATGCATAGAAGTTTTCTTTTTGTCCACTCATGTCAGTGATGCTCAAACAGATATAGAACATGTCAGATATTAAAAAAAGAAAGTCTCACCTTTTCAAAAGTTATGAAAATAAGTTATAAGTGACATATATATGGATTTATAAATCTGTGAATGACATGCTGAATTATCCTGAAACAAGGAAGGCTTTCACAAAGTCTAATAATAACTATAATCTATTGAATGAAATTTATGCAACATAAAAGATAAAAAACTGCCCTTCAGGGCCAGTGAAATCAAAAGAGATATGCACACCATTAACTGAAGCTCTCAGGGTACGTCTACACTACAGCGCTAGTTCGAACTAACTTAGTTTATTAACTGAAACTCTCAGATCTTTATGAACAGAATAATGAAATATGAGAAGTTCTACTAAGAAAGAAATCAATGACTCTTTCAAGCCCAGTGAAGCTAAATGTTGCTGGACTAACTTCTACAACATGCAAAATATCTTCATACTTCATTTTTATGTACTTTATATCCTTTAATAGGATATTTTTTAATATTCCATGACCCACATTCTGATATCAGTTACAGTGATGTAAATCCAAAGTTTCTCTGAGTCTAAATGCAAATATTTGAACTTGCAGTGATATAACTGAGAGTAGAATACAATTCTGTGTAACTTTCATGTGAGTGTTTTTGAATAGTCTAAAAACACAGTGGACTGAAATATTGTACTGCTCAGCATTCTGACAATGTAATAGTGAAAAGCCAAAGAAGGGTTCAGCTACTTTATATTTCAGCAACAAGAAGTCATGTGGTACCGTATAGACTACCAGATGTATTGGTCTATAAGGTGCCACAGGACTCCTTGTCACTCTTGCAGATCCAGACTAACACGGCTACCCCTCTGATACGTTATATTTCAGCAGCACTTAAAATGAGTTGATGCATATGCAAATAACTGCTGCTGCATCACATGCTGCCACGAGCATGACTGCAGTATATGGACAAATCTTCACTTTTCATTGCACACTTCAGCTCAGTAACAGAATCTTAAACATGTTGTGGTACCTCATTATTCTAACCTAACTCTGAGGAGAGAGGATTCAAGTCCCTGCTGTGCTTCAACCTTCCTGTGTGACCTTGGGCAAGTCATGTAGGGCCAGATTTTCAAAAGTGTTTCTATGCCTAAAGATGCAGATCTCAGTGGGATTTTCAAATGTGCCTAATCATTGATTTCAATGGGTGTTAGGCATGTAACATGCTCAGGCACTTTTGAAAATTCTATTAGGGACCAAAATATCTTTGAAAATCTTATCCATAGCACTTTCTTGCCTTCAGTTTTATCTGTTTTTAAAAAGGAGGTGGGGTAGTGCTATCTCACAAGGGTGTTGAGAGGAGAAAAGCATTCCAGATTGTGAGGTGTTCTGATACTAGTTTGAAGTCCATTGGGAAAAAATTGTCTCTCTTGAGCAGCACTGGTCAGTAATTTTTCAATGAAAGAGTTTTATGTTGAAAATTAAACTTTTTCCGGTACTGTGCCATCTCCAATGACAGGTTCGTTGAGAAACATTTCACACGTGCAGGATAGAATTCCTTGTCAGCAAGAGCCAAAATAGCCAATAACCTGGTGGCGAGGGCACTCACCTATGATTGGAAGACTCAAGAGCTTAAATCTAGGTCTCACAGATGCTATTATGAGTGCCAGGCTCTTGGCTATTTTAGGGCAGACTGTGCTCCCTTGCTCACTCGCTCTCTTTCTCATAGAACAGTGTTTCTCAAACTGTGCTCCACAGAGCCCCAGGGCTCCACGAGACATCTCCAGGGGCTCAATGAGATTGACAAACTGGAAACATCGATAGGTAGAACACATACAATGAGTGGACCGCTGGGGCTCCGCATAAATTTTTACGCATGTAAAGGGCTTCTGTCCATTCTAGTGGGTGCTCTACCCCTTTCAGGATGAAGAGTTGCTACCAAGTAAGCTGTTGCCATTGGAAGAAAGGAACAAGGCAAATATGAGCTTGATTAGGTGGGTGAAAACCCTCCTTTCTTCCCCTACATGTATATTGTTCTTCCTTTTCTGCTGAAGTGGCGTGAAAGGCAGTTCAAAAGAATCAGGTTCTGATGTGTGGCGCACTAATGAAAAAGATAATCTATATCATGCCAGTGGTTTTTAAGCAGGAATTCCCTTTTATTCAAATCAAATTGAAAGTAGTGGGGAGTACTGCTTAAAATTCATATTCAATAGGAGGAGGTTATGTATCGTTCCCTATGTCTAGACTGAAAGCTTCTTTCGGAAGAACCTTTTCTGGAAGAGATCTTCCGAAAAAACTTTTTTAGAAAGAGCGCGCCTACACAGCAAAGCACAATGAAAAAGCGACGTGCTTTTTTGAAAGATAGTGTCCACATTGATTGTATGCTACCTCACATTTCAGTTGTGATTACTGTGGATGGAGTGGCCACCAGGGCACCCGTGCTTTTTCCTGGAGGCCTCTTCTTTCGAAAAAACTCCTTCTTCTGCATCCACACATGCCTTTTTCTGAAAAAACTTTTTCAAAAAAAGGTGGCTTCTTCGTAGAAAGAGGTTTACCCCTGTCGGAAGCCCTTCAGTTTTTTCGACTTTCTGTCGAAAGAACACAATAGCAGTGTGGACATAAGAGTAGTTTTTCCAGAAAAACGGCTGTTTTTCCGGAAAAGCTCTGCAGTGTAGACATACCCATTGTTATTTAGTAAACTAGGCTTTATATTGCTTCTTTTTTTTTTCTGTCAAGATATTTTGGCAGGCAAAGATCAGCACTACTGCTCTTCTTAGAAGATGTGTTGCTTATGCACCACCAACTCTTGCTGGGATTCTATAAGTTTTTACATTACTATTGTTGATTTTTTCTTCAGTATGTGTTCAAGACCAAGTCATGTGAAGAAAGGACTGTTCATGAGGAGCTTGCTACGAATGTGACTGGCCTTTTGAAATCAAATGATCAAGTAACAGTGAAACATGTTTTAAAGGTGAATAAAGCATTTCAATATTATCACAATTTCTGCTTCAGCTTCCTTCTCTCTCTTTCTCCGTGCGCTTTGCCTGTAATAATCCTTCAGATTTATCAAGCTTTCTTGTTGTAATATTGTGAATTCTCAACATAAGCCAATGCCTAGTACATGGTGATTTTACATTGTGTAATTCCTCCTTCTGGATTTCCTTTCTCTTATTGTACAGCCATGGTGAAAAATATGATTCTTACACAATACAGTGAGAAGCAGAATGTTAAGGGTGATTTTTTTTTAACTTCACAAAATATTATCTGGGAAACACAGCTGAGATACATATTTATAAATAGAATCTATATTCAAATATAGATTTTAATTAAATTACTATTGATTTGTAATCTGCAAAATGTAAAAGATCATTATTCTGATAAGCATGAAGAGCTGCCTATTTTTTTAAATTAACCAATAAGTGGGATAGCCCTCTGGCCACAAACACATCCAAACCTCTGCCATATCCTCCACTCAAGGACTGGAAGGGAACTCATAAGAACTAAGTATTCAGATTTACTCCAGCTGTGAACTTCCCCATGCCAAGGGGATTCTCAATTGTCCTGATCCAGACAGTCCCCAGCTCATACTGGCTGAAGTGACCTGGAAAAGGTGGAGCCAATCTGGCTCATAATGTACTTTATATGCAAGAAATTAAATGGCTGTTATAATGTCAAAGTCATTCTTGGTATATACACATGGGACAACGCTGCTAAATGAATTATCCATGTAAACTCTTCATTTTTTAATAGGTAAATATATTTTTACTAAAATGTGCTAGAGATTAAGAGATTTTACTAAAACGTGTTACAGATTAAAAGATGTAATTGTTCACTCCTGCCTTCTTAATAAAGGGAAAGTCACAATTGCCAAGTACCAGATTCAGCAAGGTGCTATGCAGCTTCAATTTCCAAATGAAGTCAAACAGAAGTTAAAGTTGCTGATAAGTCCCAAGTGATTTAAATACTGTCATGGTTAAATGGCAAGCCTAATTTTTCTATGGTGTAGATTGTCAGTGCACACTGCTGAGAACTACAGACGATTCCTCTAAAGAGAATTATCTATGCAAAGTCGTTGCAGCCATTCTGGCCCCAGGGTATTAGTAAGACAAGACCTCTGCTTGTCTAATAAAAGATATTGCCTCATCCACCTTCTCTGCCAAAATAATCTCTTTTTCAGCACTGATATTATCACGTGACATTCTCCATAATATTTTACAGCATTCCTGGTTCTTCTTTGCAATTATCTTAAAATCAGTGGCACAATACTTGGTTGATACAAACAGAACACAGGTAAGAATATACATTACTATGTAATAAACTAAATTTAAGATTAATTTCTACATAAATACATTTAACCATGTAAAGTACTTTGAAGTAATGATCTGGGCTTTTCTTAGATTCCTCGAACACAGAGATTTCCAGAATCATTCCAGACGGAACTAGACACACTGGTAATGGTCTTATCTGACCATGTTATTTGGAAACACAAAGATGCTTCTGAAGAAACAAAAAATGCAAACCACAGTATTGCTAGATTTCTTAAGGTGAGATGTTTAGTCCTTACAGCACATGCGTTTATTGAATCATAGTCAATGCAGGGTAAGGAATATTCAGCCTCTAGTCTGAGATAGTCTAAGAGCAATCAAAACAAATGATGGCTGAAGATGCAGAATCAGCACTGATTTATGGCATAATTGTTTCTCTGCTATTAGGTGAGCAACTGGCTCTGTGGGAGTCCAATGGCTGCATATAAATCTGCTAAAAAAAAGCCTCACTCGGACATATCTATCTCACAAAAAGATGTGGCAAGGCTCCTCTTTCATTGTGTCAGCCTACACATTTGTCCCCCTGGGAGGATAGAGTAAATCAGTCCTGCTTTGGAGGCTTTCAGTTCTTTGCTCTGTTTTATTTACTGTATTCACAGGGTAGGTCTCTCAAGCAAAACCCTCCAGAACACATATATTCCTTTGCTCCCACCAGAGCACTGACTTGCTATGACTGTCTTCTGCTCACCAGCCCTTCCCCAAACAGAAGCAAATTCAGGAATTCCCCCATGGGAGGAAGCAGCCCTCTACCTAGGAAAATCCTTTTCTGCCTGCTGCCCCCTCACTCTGACACAGTTGGTTTCTCCTCCATCCTCCCACTCTCTTAACAGGAGCAGGTCCCCAGCAGTCTTTAAATGGAATCAGGTGTCTCTAATTAAGCTGAGGTAGCCTCTTCTCAGTTCATATATTAAAGTGCCTTCACCATTCTCAGACTGATGTGCCTCTTTCCACCACTCTCATATAGCTGTCAGGTCTAACTTTGTTACAAAGGGTCTATACTGGCACATCCTTGGAAAGGCACAGTGCGGGCAGATTGGACTGGTAAATCTGGCCCTGAGCTACTGGAGTAAATACAGAATTATGAATATTCTATTTTTTTCCTTAGCACTGTTTTACATTTATGGATCGTGGATTTGTATTGAAGTTGGTCAACAACTATGTAAACATGTTCAGCCCCGGGGATCACAAGGTATGAGTAATCTTTTTTTAAAAGTGACTTGGTAGCAGAGTATTTTCAAGATGAAACTACTTAGGATCCATTCTGCAGTTACTCCATGCTCAGAAGTATTACTGATCGCATTATTTACTATAAATAATGTGTTACGAATTTAGGTCCTGTTCCTGCAAGGAGCTTCACACAGCTGGACTCCTGTGTCCATACAGAACTCGATGGAGATCTGTAGATGCATAGAGGTCAACCCATGTGTAGTTCATTCCACGATCAGGACGCCAGCCTAATATAGGTTAACAAATTATTTGTGTGATCATTTTCCTGTAATATATTTGTAAATACTGAAATAGCGTGATCGTTAATTTTCAAAATATGGATGGCTCATTCACATACTAGCCTGGTATACTCTTCATTATTTATGTATTGTGATTAGTGCACACATGGTTTTGTTTCTGCTGTATAACTGGATCAGAGAAATATATATGGGAAGTAGCAAATACTAATAATAGTGTACTCATGGAACACATTTTTGAATGAATAGTCATTCTAGGAAAAGTGAGTGAAATTTTTGGATTCATGAATTTTTTTCACAGCTATTTATTAGTGTTCTATATGAATAGTATAACCTCATGAATTATAAAGAATCAAACTTGTCACCTTTCATTGTGAAAGTAGCCACAATTTTTTTAACTGTACTTCAAGCTGTATGCAGATCGCTCACATAATCAGAGAAACAGCTGCAGAATCAGGCCCTTAGTTATTGTGCTATACATGAAGATCATAAATCTGCGAAGAATTCTATATAAGCTGAAAATTGTTTCCACATGTTTCAGTCCTAACTGCCTTCAGCAGAAAAAAACAGATGTTTAATTAAAACATCCAGTTAATGGCTAACAGAACAGTTCATTATCTTAGATTGGTCATTCTGTATAGCAGAAATTAGCACATCCTCAAAGATAAAAGTATATCCACAGATTAGCTTCCTTTCCAAACAGTCTGACAGAGAATATTTGAAAGTGGAGTCAATGGGGAGCCAAGGCAGATGTGCCAAAGTAACAGACTTGAGGCCAATGAAAAAGAATATGCATAAAATGAGTTATAAAGATTCTTATGACTTTGAGGAAATACCAAAATATCCTCAGTGGCTTGGCTTGTCTGCCTTTGTAACTAGAGAGCAAAAAACAGAGCCAGTTATTCACTTTTGAAGGTTACGCTTCATTGGCCTGTATGTTTTGGTTTTTAACTGCTTCTTTACACATGTTTTTTACTGATCCCAGTCTCCCCTTTAGGGCTACAGCTACACTGTAGCCTTCTTCCAGAAAAGCATAATTAATTAGCAGCCGCTTTTGCTCAAAGGGCTTTTGCACAAAAAGGAGCTGTGTAGATGGCTCCTTTTTTGCGCAAAACCCCCTCTTGCACAAGAGCATTTCTTCCTCATTTTTTAAGGAAGAACGGCTCTTGTGCAGGAGGGGGGTTTTGCGCAAAAAGGAGCCATCTACACAGCTCCTTTTTGCACAAAGGACTCTTGTGCAAAAATGGCTGCTAATTAATTATGCAAATGAAGCATGCCGATATTTCACACCGTGCTTCATTTGCACAAGCTTTTCCAAAAGAAGGCTACAGTGTAGTCGTAGCCTTAGAAAGTTGAACCATTTGAAGAAATAGTATATATGGTTGTATCAATACATAACTTTGCACCAACTAAACTTATTTTCTGTGTCATTGAAACTTGATGGTAGAGCTGATTCACTGAAAACTACCCACAGGAATTTTAAGCATTTCGATGTTTGTTTTATCCTGAATTAAGTGAAAAAGCCAAAATATTTTTTTTAAATGGATTCAGAAATATTGTAACATTTCATTTTAACATTTCTTTGTGTTCCCCTGAGCTGTGTGATGCCTCGCTGGAGTGCTAGTTCAGCTGCTTTATGCCCCCATTCTCTTTTATCAGCCTAGTTCTGTGGCTGACAGACCATGACTACAATGCATCATGGAGAAATAATCACTTCAATAGAAGTTTCCTTACCAGCTCTACTCAGCAGGTTCTGAAAAGTTCTGATGAGCCACAAAGTTTCCAAACTTTTTGGTCTAGACACTTTTCTATACTTGTGGCATCTTAGCTCTACTGTCTAGCAGAGATGAAAAGACAAATCTTGTGACATGGATCCTTCACATCCTTTAAGAAGGGCCAATGTTTGTACCTTTACAGACACGTGTAGATACTGGGACAAGTGTTTCACGTGGTATATCAGCTTACTGCATCCTGGGCGACCGTTTCTTATGAACAACGAGAAGTCCTGTGGCACCTTATAGATGCATCTGACGTGTTTCTTATGAACAATGAGAAGTCCTGTGGCACCTTATAGAGGCATCTGATGAAGTGGGTCTTTGCCCACAAAAGCTTCTGCTCCAATAAATCTGTTAGTCTATAAGGTACTACAGGACTTCTTGTTGTTTATGCACATTCAGACTCACATGGCTATCCCTTAGAACACTGTTCTGGAAAGAGGAAATGAATCTAAATACCTCAATCAAGATAGTTTCCCATCTGTAAAATAGGGATAGTTATTTCATATCAGAACGGAAAAGCTTAATTCATTAATGGTTGCAAAGCACTTGGAGCTTTTGAATAGGCGACTGATATAGGAAGGCAAAATACTGTTGCTAAACAGAATTCATTCTTAGTAAACTGCGATGATAAATATGCACACACACAGCAAGATGGGAATTTTTCCACTTTGTTATAGTTTTTATAGTTCTCTTTGTATAAACATTGTTATAAGGTTAGGAAAGGAAAATATATACAATTCCTGTACATTTTTAGTAAGTACACAGTGCTAGGTCAGTGAATGATACAGACTATTGAAATGATTACTGCAGTCCTGAAGAATGTGAAATAGAGGTGATACTTTATACCTCTAAGAGTTTAAGTAACAGAATATGCCCTCCAAGGGAGCCAGTGTGTGGTTTTAAAGTGACAGCTGCTTTAAATACGTTGTTTAGTTAAAGTTACATGGGATAAGTGTGAAATCAAATTACAGGAATCCACCCAAAAAAAAAGCAAGCTTTGTTATGATAAATGCCTCTAATAACATTTGGGAAAGGGGGAACCAAGTGTTTTATCATATTTTGCCCTGTAGTGTTACATAATGCACCATTAATTTTCAGTGGCTGATACGATATGATTTTGAGGTAAAGATAAATATTAATGTAATTTTTATTTTGTGTCTTGTTGTCATTAAAGTCCACACCAGTTATTTAATATTGTGGTGTTTCAGATTTTATATCAGTACAAATTTGACTTTCTTCAAGAAGTTTGCCACCATGAGCACTTTATTCCTCTGTGCCTGCCCATACGATCTGCAAACATTCCAGGTAATAACTCACTTTCCATTGTGTCATTAGTATCTGTGAGCTAATTAGCCATGGAAAGGAGTAAATCTCCAACCACCTGTAGTTAAAGATTGTGAAATCTATTGGTTGTCACATGTTTCACAGGCCAGTTGCATGGGTAATACTGTAAACTCTCCAAAAATAAAGTCTAGACATTAAATATGATAGTAGAGACATGGATAGTTAACAAAGGATGATATACAGATCTCCCAATTTAAATGTCTGATTATTTATGAGACAAGGAGAGTCAGGTGATGTCTTTTCTGGACTATCTGCTGTTGGTGAAAGAGACAAGCTTTCAAGCTACATTGAACTCTTCTCCTGATCTTTCTTTAGTTCTTTTCATTCCAAACATGCACACACATTCAGTTCTAAAGTGGGTCATTTAATCGAAATTTTGGTTTAGTCACCTGGAGGGTGCTTGCTGAGAGCGCAGTAATAAAACTGAAACTGGGTTGAGAGATGGAACTGCAAGAACTGAAACTTGGAAGAGGTTTGAGAGGATGTGCAGCAGAAAGGAAGGGAGTTAAAGCTGTGAAGGTGATGGAAGCTGTATCCTCTTCATTTGGGGAGGTTCAACAAGCAGTTATTTGAGGAGGTGAAAGGCTCTTTTGCTCCTGTTCATCTGGTGAATGTCCAGTCATGCCATTGTGTTGTTAGTATCTGTGAGCTAATTATCCATGGAAAGAAGTAAATCTCCAACCACCTATCGTTCTGACCCGTAGGTTTCACTACCAATAGGTACTTAACCACCAAAGCTAAACTTGGTGTGTATGGTGTGAGTGTGGCCTCCTACTTGTGGCTGATACCACTACACCTTTTCCCCTTTTCCAAACTCTTGTGTAGACATGTACACAGACAAGCATGAGCCATCTTATAATGCACAGTCTAATTTCTGTCTTTTACACTTCCTTAGCCATTTCTGCAAAAAAAGAGTAAGGGTATGTCTACACTGCCATCCTAGTTTGAACTAGGGTGGCTAATGTAGGCATTCGAAGTTGCAAATGAAGCCCAGGATTTAAATATCCCGGGCTTCATTTGCATCTTGCCGGGCGCCGCCATTTTTAAATCCCCCTTAGTGCGGACTCCGTGCCCACGGCTACACGCGGCGGACTCCGCTAAGGAGTCCGCACTAAGGGGGATTTAAAAATGGCGGCACCCGGCAAGATGCAAATGAAGGCCAGGATATTTAAATCCCGGGCTTCATTTGCAACTTCGAATGCCTACATTAGCCACCCTAGTTCGAACTAGGGTGCAGTGTAGACATACCCTAAGAGAGGAACATGCTCCTCATCTTTCTTTACAGTGGGAGGAGCAGCTTCTTTAGCATGGTTTTGTGATTAAACTGCATGATTGAGAGGTTTTGCTGTTGACTTTAGTAAAACCTGGATTTCACCCCAGGCTCAATTCCCAGTTCTCTTGTTTGCCCGAAGGCAAGTCACTTAGAATTGGATCCTGCAAGGTGCTGAGCATGAGTGTAGTACCTCCCTGAGCGTGTGCCTGTTTCCTTGCGTGTGTTAGTTTCCTCATCAGCAAAAGGATGATGCTGTACTTTCCTCACTGAGCTGTGATGAAAAATCTGGTAAACAGATTTTCACATAACAGGCTTGACAGAAATGAAAAGTATTAATTATTCCTTATTATCGTGTGTTATTGTATTAATATTTTAGTAGGAGGGGAGTGCTATTTCAGTCACATTTGGTTGAACTGCCTTCAGTCAAAGTCACTTTTTCCAGTGTATATCTTGTGGATCAAACACCATGATTTCACGTTTCTAAATTATTCTGTGAGAATTTGCTATCTAAATCTCTTGGCTAGGGTGACTTGACAAATGTTAAAATGTCTGCCTACATAGAGACGACTCTCTTAAAAAAACCTGAAATGGATCTCATGGTTACCTATTCTACTATGTCAAATTGAATTAAAAACCCCTTGTTTATCATGCATCCATTATAAACAAAACAGACAATTATCCAAGAACTTAATCTAAAGCACACTGAAGCCAATAGTAACCTTTCTGTTGAATTTGATGACTTTAGAATTAAGCAACAAGGGAGGGGGAATAAATATACTTTTCCCACATCATAAGATCATTAATTTGATTTAGTAAAAATGCATGAATCCTGCTTTTGTTTGTTTGTTTGTTTGTTTTTTATGATGATAAATCAAGATCCTGTGACACCTTCAGAATCAACGCAGGAATATCATGCATCAGGTAAGAGCCTAATTTCTTAGTGTGCATCTACACTACACCATAGGTTGAAATAAGATACACAGTTTGAGCTACATGAAATTTGGTGCTGTCTGCACAGCACTTATTTCAATCTAGTGTAGTGTACAGTTAGTGGACTTAGTTTTACAGGAACGTTGGAATAGTGGGCCCATTATATTTCAAAATAACAGGCATGCTCGAAAGACGTGTTATAGCTATTTCAGGATATCCCAAAATAGCACCCCAAGTGTAGACATAGCCTGGGACATTTGGTATTGGCCACTATCAAGACAGGTAGCCTTACAGCATTACATATGGAGTGTTAGCAGGGAACAGAGAAAACAGCATGAGGAGTTATGATTTTTCCCAGATCTATCACTAATTGTGGTGTTACCTTGGAGGAGTCGTTTAAATTGTCTGACAATAAGATGTTTGGATATCTGTGTCTCAGTATCTTCAGTTATAATATGGGCATAATACTGATGCTGTGCCTTAAAAGGTGTTTGAAGACTTATTTGGTGTTTGTAAATCACTCTGAGACCCTCAGGTGGGAAGAACAGTAGGTATAGATCATCATTCATTTATAAATTATACAAACTCCATAAGCTTAAGAAGTATTTGTTGTTGATATTTGTTAATTTGAAGTCTCTGAAACTCGCACATGAGCTAAGATGGATTTAGCCTTCTGTGAAACCCTGTATATCCCAGGTGTGTGGTTAGATGGGTTGCTCATAAGAACATAACATAAGAACGGCCGTACTGGGTCAGACCAAAGGTCCATCTATCCCAGTATCCTGTCTGCCGACAGTGGCTAGCACCAGGTGCCCCAGAGAAGGTGGACCGAAGACAATGATCAAGCGATTTGTCTCCTGCCATCCCTCTCCAGCCTCTGACAAACAGAGGCCAAGGACACCATTTTATCCCCTGGCTAATAGCCTTTTATGGACCTAACCTCCATGAAATTATCTAGCTTCTCTTTAAACTCTATTATAGTCCTAGCCTTCACAGCCTCCTCTGGCAAGGAGTTCCACAGGTTGACTACACGCTGTATGAAGAAGAACTTTCTTTTATTAGTTTTAAACCTGCTACCCATTAATTTCATTTGGTGTCCTCTAGTTCTTCTATTTAGGGAACTAATGAAGAACTTTTCTTTATCCGCTCTCCCCACACCACTCATGATTTTATAGACCTCTATCATATCCCCCTTCAGCCTCCTCTTTTCTAAACTAAAAAGTCCCAGTCTCTTTAACCTCTCCTCATATGGGACCCATTCCAAACCCCTAATCATTTTAGTTGCCCTTTTCTGAACCCTTTCCAAGGCCAAAATATCTTTTTTGAGGTGAGGAGACCACATCTGTACACAGTATTCAAGATGTGGGCGTACCATAGTTTTATACAGGGGCAGTAAGATGTTCTGGGTCTTATTTTCTTGACCTTGGTAGGTTAAAGCCCACCTGGAGAATTTTTGTCAAAAGTTTTATTTCTGGACTGTAGATTAACATCATTCCGTTAAGAACAAAATGAGATCATTTTCTGTTTTGATACAGAGATTCCAGAATACACCCTGACCAATGAATTTTGCCATAAACATTTTTTAATTGGGTTACTGCTTCGGGAGGTTGGCTTTGCCCTGCAAGAAGACCAGGATATTAGGCACTTAGCTTTGGCTGTGCTTAAAAACCTAATGGCAAAACATTCATTTGATGATCGATATGCAGGCCAGGTAAGTGAGTTATTCTTTCCACTGATATTTTCATACAGTGCAATACATTTGAAGATTACTCACTCCCCAATTTAAAATGTTTTGTTTCTTTCATTCCTTCCTCCCCCAGGATAAACAGGCTCAAATAGCAAATCTGTACATGCCCCTGTATGGCATGCTTTTGGACAATATGCCAAGGATTTATATGAAGGATATGTTTATTTTCAATATAAATACATCCAATCAGGTAACTTAATGCAATTTTTCAGAATTTTCATATGGATAATTGTAGTGTTGATATCTGTTACTTTCTCTAGCATTAACAAAAGGGGAGGCCATCCACAACAATAAAAGGGACTGAATATTTTCAGATTAGGGTTCCAGAAACACAATAAAAAAGGGAGCAGGCATATCATGAGAATTATGGGGAAGGGAGAGGTGAGAGTGGGAAGGAAGAAAGGTTTGAGTTTCATGCTGAGATTGCTGTAAGTGGCAGCTTTGCAAACAACACCCACAAGTTCAGGTTCACAAAGAGCAGTGGTGGTTTTGCTGTAGGTGGCCCTAGTGATGAGGCTGTTCTTGCTCCTGAGAAGAAGAGGACATGGCAGGAAGTCTCTGGTACTTCAGTCCAACCTTCAGTTCTGCTGCTACAGACACTTGTGCATGTGCTTAACTCTATGCACAAGAGTATTCCATTTGGTGCCAATGGGAACAGCCTCATGCATAAATTTAAGCACATGCATAAATGTGAGCAAGATGAGGACTTTGACCATGAAGGTTTAAGATATATTCTGTGGGATGCACACTAAAAAAAGTGCAGTAGGAAAGTACTGAGAGAAGTCTGACAGGTGCTTTTTTTAACCTTTCCTTTGTCTATATCGCTGTGGGCCATTGACCTAAGTTACGCAACTTCAGCTACTTTAGTAACATAGCTGAAGTGAATGTACTTAGACCTGCTTACCCTGGTATCTTCAGAACAGTAAATCGGCAGTTGTCACTTTCCCATTGACTACAATTACTGTTCTCATTTTGGTGGAGTACCATAGTTGATGGGAGAGTGCTCAGCTGTTGATTTATCATATGTAGACACAATAAATTGACCCCTGCTGTCTGTCGATCCAGAGGTAGTGAAGACATGCTCTTAGTCAATCTCTATTCAGCATGGGGCTGCAGCTTCTCAGGTTAATCACAATGGACCAGATACTGATCTCAGTTCTCTGGTAGAAATCTGGAGTTACTTTCTTGGCTTCAATAGAGTAGAATTTACACCTGTGTGGCAGAGATCAAAATCTGGCTCAGCACTACTCTATAAATCACCTGGTCGGAGTATTGTTTATTAGAATGCATTTGTGGTTTGCCTCTGCCATTAAGGAGATTAGATATGTTATTTATATGACCATATTCAGTCTCCAAAAACAAAGAGCAAGTGCCTGCGGATGCTATTGCCCTCCACAGTTTTCTCCAAGCCAACCTGCTTCACTAGATAATTACTAGTCATATTAAAATACCCTTTTTTTCTGACATGTAGGTAATTAGTTTAAGAAGAAATCACACTTTTAGACTTGATCTCTCATATTCAGCTCTGCTTATGAGAGGGTTTCATATTTTACATTGTTACCCACTGTATGATGGTAAACCTTGAACTCTTCTGGCTGCCTTATCTGAAGAGCTGAAAGTAGGTTTTTAAGCCCAATCTCTCAGCAGTCACATCAGATATACTGTAATTATAAAATTAATGAACAGGCCGAGTGTAAGTTTGGAAAAAAGTGATATTCTGTAGCTGAATTTTTATTTCTGCCCACTTTGAAATGCAGGGATCTAGGGATGACTTGAGCACTGCAGGAGGATTTCAGAGTCAAACAACAATGAAACATGCAAACTCTGTGGATACGTCTTTCTCCAAAGATGTCCTGAACTCTATAGCAGGTACTTAAGGAGTGCTGGTAATGCACACAGAGATGTCTGTGTATT